ATAAAGTACTTATATAACTATATATATTATATAATTAATATTATAGTTTTAAATTATAATAAATAGAGTTATTTTTATATAAAGTTTAATACTTTAAACTTTATTATTTTATTTTATATAAAATGTTATAGTAAGTTAAGCGTTATTATTCTTATATTCTTATTATTATAAAAGAATATTATATATTTATAAATACTAATTAAAATTCTATAATCTAAGGCTAGTAGCCTATAATCTACGGCATATAATTATTAATAGAAGGCTATAAATATTAATAAGAGGCGCAGACTTAAGTCTATTACACGAAGTAGGATGAAATCACTGTGAACGGCTGGAGGCTCAGTAGGAATGAAAAAGTAAACTATACTCTCCCAGAAGAGATGCACGCTGACGATGGCTTTGGACAGCCAAGTGGTTACAAAATATCCGGTTAACTACGTATACCTAACGCACTGTACCCCGCGAGGAAGAATTCAAAGAAAAGCAATGTAGAATTGAAGAGGCGAGTTGACTGAGTCCTAGACTCCCTCCAGTCCATGCTCAAGAAACCACTAGGGGGCAACGAGATTATGTTCGGCCAAGAGCCACATTCTTCCAGTGATCGCGCTCTGCTTCCAACTTTCGAATCTTCTCCTCCAAATCCTCAAACCGTTGAGCCTTACGCTCGCGAGACTTACGAGCCGCAAGAGTGTTGCGTGCCCGCTTCATAGCCACAACGTCGCTAGGATCCTCTACGACGATGGGAGGCAACGGTTTGTCCCGCTTTCGAGCATTAACACCAGCTACAGAAGAGTGGCGGCCGGAGCCAGACGATGGGGAGCCACCCGACTTTCGCCGCGTGGAGGCTGAAGTGAATTCGACAACCTCAAGGTCTTCGTCCGCAATAACAGGAGATTGCCCAACATTCTGTTGAATGTCTTTGGCCGTAGCGGTCTCTTGGGGGAATAGAGGGAACCAAGGATCAGTAGAACCGGTTTCGAAATCACCAGAGCCGAAATTAGGAGAAACATCGTAGCCGTCGTTGAAGTCTGGCGACTCGTTATAGACGGACGGAGAGGTCAATGCAGTGAATGCCGTCGAATTGGGAGCTGACATGAACGGCTCCTGGATCAGCAGATCTTGGGGAGAAACTGTGCCCAGGTTGCTCGCCCCAGATGTGCTCCCGCCGAGATCAAAGACAGATGGCATAGCTGGGGACGAGTATGTGGTAGAGGCACCACCCTCGAACCCGGTGAAGTCGTCAAGGTCGAGTTCTGACATTTGTGAGCAAGGCGGATGCGAAGACGGACACAGTGGAATGATACCTTGCAGTTCCATCTTAGACGATCTCATGGAAGTCTGACCAGTACTCTGGGAGAAAAGCGGAACCGGGGGCAGATGACGACGGGATTGCTGCTGAAGAGCGAGTGAAGACGACGGAGCTGAAGCTGCGTAAAACTGGGCTTGTTGTGCGGGAGATGTAAATCGTGAAGCAACCAGTGACGACGGAGACTTTGAGTGGTCTGCTGCCTGGATCTGGGCTAGTCGTTGATTGTGGCGGATGAGAGATTGGCGTCCGCGTTGCTGATGCTGACGGAGCTGATGCGACGAGTGACGGCGGTGCTGTGTATCAGAAGCACTAGACTGCTGAGTGTGGTGTCTAGGTTGACTGGGCCGTGGGGGAGGCTGATCGAACAAGACGAAGTCCTGTTGTGGTTGCTCGACGGGTGGACTGAACTGTTGTTGCGCGGGTTGTGCCGGCCGGCTGGGAGAACTGGAGGGAAGCCATGTTGATTGGGAATCCGTGGTGAAGACTGGAAAGTCTTGCGAGTAAATGGTGGAAGAGGAGGAACCTGAGCTGAAGCTTTGTGTAGCTGGGCTGAAGTTCAGATCGACCTGGGAAGGTAGAGCTGAGGGTGAAGACTGAGTGAGGAAAATGTTGCCGAAGTTTTGAGACTGAATTTTGTCTGGTTGTGGGGAGCAGCCGGAGAGGGCGGTTGATTTAACGCATCTTGAGAAGCCTGTATGGCGATAATGACTTGCTGTGTATTGGGAAAGATTGGTGAGGATGAGGAGAGAAGGAAGAGGTGGCGGAAGGTCTTTTGTGGGCGAGCAACTAGCTTTTGTAGCCTTTCAGGCAATCGCAGGCCAAAACGACGAGCGCAAGCCGAAGGGCGCGCGATTGGCAAAGCCCTGGAGTGAAACAGCATTAATGACCGGTAGAAAGTACAGAGCTGGGAGGTATCCATGCCCACCCGGGACGCCAAAAACTTCGCACAATGGCCCACAAGTTGGTCGACCATCAGCCTTGGAATACTGCTATTGGATGTACCAAGAAGCCCCTTCCATACAGGTCTTGCTCCGCCCTCTGTGTAATCCATGGTCCGGGCTGATGTGTGACTCACACTCTGCGGCGCCAAGCCATATATGGCCTAGGACAGAAGCAGTGACCGGGCATAGTACAGTGCGCAACAGCAAGGCAAGCCTTCAAGTCTTACTGTGCTACCCACCCACCTCCATCTTAGAAATCAGCCTGGGTACCGGACGTCTCTCGCCTGCCTAAATTGCACGCACTGCCCACACCGACGCCGACGGCAAGAAAAAAGACACGCTAAAGTACAGTACTTTTTCAGGTCGCTAACTGGCTGTTCTGAGAGATACCAACAATTTTCTTCGGCGCCATCTTCGGCCAGCCCAAACGGGAAATGCATACGTACCAGCGACAACTCCGAGGACAAGATTACGGATGAGCCGCGTACGAATCCATTGCATAGCTATGCGAGAACAGGATAACACTCTTCGACAGTCAAGACTCAGCACGTATATCTTGCCACTTTTGCTCAATTTTGCTCGTGCTGATGAAGCCTCACTAGATACGCAGTTCTCGCACTTACCTCGTCCATGAACGTGCTTCCCTTATCACCAGGTTTCCGCGAAAACAAATAAACATAGATTATCTCTGGCAGGCCCGGTAGTCCTCGCTGTCCATAGACTCTGGATACAGCGTTGCCAACCAGCCAATCATTTAGACCAATTGATTCAGGTCTGCGCCTGATAACTAGCGCCCCGGTCAGTTCACCCTGTTTCACGCCTGTGACTCATTCTCCCCCGCAGTCTCTCATCTCGTAGTGTTTTACATGACCGATCTCATGTTGCACATACTCCATATGTGCATGCCCACTATGTCTAGCATAATGATGAACTCCGACGTCGTTCGCCAATTTGCAGAGCCTCCACCGAGCCGCACACGCCCTCCCAAAAGGACTGCCTGAAATCAATCCGCTGGATACGCAGAATTGAAGATCGATATGGCCTGTCCCGCACCTTATGGTACATTTGTAAACCCCATGCTAAAACTGTCGCAAGACTGATTGTCTCGCCCGCGATGTTTCCCTCCCATACGCGGCATCAACAAGCCCTATCATGCTCGGGACATTCCATAAGCCGATGAGGTGCCGACGGTAAAAGCCCGGGCTTACAAAAATTCGAGATTGATTCAACCCCTCAATGCCGACATCCATCATGGCCTGGCCCCCATAGGTGATGCAAGTGGGGACAGAACATGCCGTCTCGCGATGGCATCCTCTGCCCAATCGGTCAACTCGCGGGGTGAACTCTGCAGTGATTTTGGACCCAAGGTATGCGGTCGGGCTGCTTGCACCTGCACACTGCCGCCTAGTCATGCCTCGGTCACTTTGACCTTTTCCAACAAGTGACCGTCGTCGGCGTGCGTTTCTAGTATTTCGTTGTTGATGATGTCCTTATTACCATCTCGGAAGTCCCTCATCAGTAGCAGGAACCTCGAATTTTTCCACTTGTCACCTTGCTCGTGTTGAACCGATTCCAAAATTTGTCGTGCGGCCTCGGAAATTTCTGATTGCCCCCGGCTAGCAAGATCGGCTGACGTTGCATCGGCCATGTCATCGAGGCCCAGTCGCGACACATCGGGAGGCTGGTTGGGTTGGGATATGCCAGAGGAAGCCCGGATCGAGTGGTCTTCCTGCTCTACGGATTTCTCACCATCCACGGTGGCTGGCATGAGTTCTTCACCGCGAAGACTGATGCCAAGGGTTCTGTCGTCGTTTTGGGTAGCCGTTATTTCTTCTTGTTCCATCTGCCGCGCGAGCTCCTCCATGATGGCGTCAACATCTTCTAATCGGCTGTGCCCGTGAGCAGCCATCCACCTGTCCATTTCGAGGTCAAAATCAGCCTGGACAGCGTCAGCGCCATGGCTCGTAGGCCCATATTCCGCGAGCGCCCCAGGACCTCCGACAGGCCTAAAGAAAGACGGCCTTGAAGGAAATGCCCTCATGTTTGTCGCGAAATCTGCTGAGCGAAGTGAGCTATTTTGTGTGGTTGAACGAATGAGCGCCGAGCTGCTTGAGGCTGGAGTGTTTTGGGAGAACCTTGCAAAGTCCTGAGCCCAACCTGTCGCTTCTGGGGGTGCATTTGGTATGTGGTATTGGCGGCGGGCCACGCTTTCGTCCACAGAGGATACAGTATTGGAAGTAGAAGCCGGGTTGTTCATCGAAAGGCGTCCGTCATAGTGATTTACGAGATGCGGTGCTATGGAAGGACTAGATATTGGCTGTGCGTGAGAGCTTGGCGCATTCGTGGTTAAAAATGCGCCAAAGCCATGCTGTGCTTGAGGCGAGGACATTGAGCCACTAGACCTAAAGACCTATTTAATGTGTTATAAGCGTTTTGGATAGGAAGAGGTAGATACAAACATACATGTTGACTAGCAAATGTGGTGGAAAAGCGATCCTGGTGGAGGCTACGGTCTTGGCCGCCGTGGTCGACGAGGCTCTTGAACGGCGTTGAGCCGCTACAGGAGTTGTCACCCATTCTCAAGGAGGAACCTCAAAAAGTCTGAGCCGATAAAAAGTGCAAGTGGCAGCCGTAGAGTCAAGAGCCCAAGGATTAGAACCACCCGCCGTTCTGCTTCTCTACTGCCCGATTCGGTCAGCAGTTCAGCGGCTGGAGTGTATGCAACGACCGGCCGGTTATGCGAACGAGCAGTCAAGGCCACTACTGTCGAAGCCTGGAAGTGGACTGATCAAGAATGTGGAAGAAAAGCCCGCGTGTTCGTGAAATTGCGAGAAGTCAACAGCAAAAATTAAGTAGGGGATGCGACGAACAAATAACCTTTCCTTGTGAATGACGGTCATCATTCTTAATCGGCCTACCTCGGCACAACGCGGTACGTACCAACAGTGGCTCAAAGACGTGGTTCTCTTGTCTGTGGCAGGATCCGGGATCTCACCGCCTGCCCCATCGGGATTCCCTCACTTTGACACTCAGGCGGATTGAGAGGAGGGCGGTGGGGCACTTCCCGCAAATACGTACCTACCTTTCCTCAAGACACTGACGACGGGAGGCCAGCTTGCGGAGGCCCACTTTGCAGCCAGCTTGACCCAAATCTGAAGAGCTCCTAGATTAGGTGGCTAGTCAACATCTATTACGACTGCGACAACACTTCTACCGACACTTCGACGGCGGTAGTCACTATCGTTTCTCTGCCATCCTTCTCCTGACTGGCCCTCACTCGAACGGCGCATATCTTTCGATCAAAACGGCTTGCAACCTAAAACAAACCTCCCCGCAATGGTAATTTTGCACCTACTTCACCTCCCAGTTGATGCTCCTTGCCTGCTGACACCCATTGCAGGCATCCGCTCAGGTCATCTCAAACTCTGGCCACGATGATATGATTGTAAGTGCAAATGACACTTATGCCAGCCACGCGAAATCGCCACGGCCTCCGACTGCCACCGGAAGCGACTCCAAGATGGGTGTAGATCTTGAACGGCTCTCCGATTCCAATATCCCCGGGTTACTCCTCTATCATCAAGCTCTTGAGGCTAACCGAAATCATTTTTGCAGCACGATGCCGTCCTCGACTACTATGGTCGCCGGCTCGCGACTTGCTCCAGCGACCGAACGATTAAGATATTTGAGATAGAGGGTGATTCTCAACGACTTATAGAAACCCTCAAGGGGTAGGAATATGTCTCATTACACGCCATTTAGCTATCACACTGACGCAGCAACAGACACGATGGTGCGGTTTGGTGCGTTTCCTGGGCTCATCCCAAGTACGGAAACATTCTCGCTTCGGCGGGTTATGACGGCAAGGTCTTCATATGGAGAGAGCAGAACAACCAGTGGCAAAAGATCTTCGACTTCGCTCTGCACAAGGCTTCCGTCAACATTGTCTCCTGGTCACCACATGAATCTGGATGTCTTCTTGCCTGTGCCTCGTCAGACGGCAATGTCAGTGTACTCGAGTTCCGAGACAACAGCTTCGATCACGTTACCTTTCCTGCTCATGGATTGGGCGTCAACTCCGTGTCGTGGGCCCCTGCAACTGCACCGGGTAGCATCGTGAGCAGTTCTCCAGGCCCTGGCTCTGCTGGTGTCAGACGGTTTGTCACTGGCGGCTGTGACAACCTGCTCAAAATCTGGACCTTCGATTCTGCGTCGCAGTCTTACAAGCTAGACCAGGAGCCCCTTGCTGGCCACTCCGATTGGGTGCGTGATGTTGCATGGTCACCGACTGTTTTACAAAAGTCCTATATCGCCTCAGCTTCTCAGGATAAGACCGTCCGCATCTGGACCTCTGATCCAACCGGCGCAAGCCAATGGAGCTGTAAAATCCTCAACTTTGATGCTCCCGTCTGGCGTGTGAGCTGGTCGCTGAGCGGCAACGTTCTGGCCGTAAGCGGAGGCGACAACAAGGTTTCCTTGTGGAAGGAGAATCTCAGAGGCGAATGGGAGTGTGTCAAGAGCATCGAAGAGTGATTCAGGTGCTGTCATGACATCACAAGCAAGGCGTTCATGGAAAATTAGGGTTTAGAAAGGTCAGCTCTCATTGATGATGTTCTATTACTCGATGTCGTTTGTTTTCGGGGATTGGTTCGAAGACGTCCCAGCCGGCTCGCTTCTCCTATTCTATGGCATCAGCCATTGGCCGCTAGACTTCTTTGCCAACAAGTATCGAGAGCGGCGACACGGTCAGCACGTTCAATCTATCTCATACTGCCGCATAAGTTTCCCAGCGATTCATGCTTCCTGTGTAGCGCACGCATGGGGCCCTCTCCATCAAGCATAGGACATTAGCAATCAGCAAACCGACTTTCTGCTCCTAGGCTATCGTCTCGCAGGAGAATCCACCGCTCTTTGAGACGAGGGCGGCTTAGGTCGAGAGACAGCCCCGAAATGCATGATAGTTGAGAAACCAGACTAGCCCCGGCACCAGAAAAGGACGTAGAGTTGCCAGGCGATATTCAACGAGGTTGCCACTATGTGTATAGAGCGCGTACGACCCACCCTTGGATGTCATCAATAATTCACCGTTGCTGTTCCGCGCTATACCTATGGGCTTGCCATGCCGGCCGGGTATGATACATGCTGGTAACCCGCGGAATATAAACCTCTTGAGACGTGGGATCGAGCGGCACTAAAGGACGACCTCCATTCAATGCATATACTACTTTTGTACAAGCTATACAACTGGGCGCTCAACCCGGTGTATAAACGTGAAACCTGCAATGTCAAACGGAGGGTAAGAGTGAGAAGAAAGCACGATAGAAGCCAAAATCCGGGGGTGAATAGTGTACATATTAGGAATATCTAACCCGTATTATTAGATGTAAGAAAATTAGCGTTTTTGCCTGCAAGTTACTTCAAGCTGCGCTACCGCCAGATACCTACGTGTCCTCCAAAGCATGAATCTGACCTTCTCAACTCAGTCCTTTAACGGAGGCCAATCACGCTCATCTCCAATGTCCAGACTCGCCTTATCCAGACTTTGAGCTTCCCCGGCACACCTTCCACATTTTCAAGTTCGACGCCTTCCCACCAACAGCGCCTCGCCGGCTTGCGCCAGAACAAGAGCAACTTCTGAGCCATACCGACAGCATTGCTACCCATGTCATTGCCCCGAATGTCACTTCTCAGTCGCGCTAGGGCGAGGCTACAGACGACTGCCTTGTTTGGTTCCCCAGCTCGGTGGCCCCAGCTGTCATCGTGGTTGAAGCCGCTAGCATCGACAGTTAGCCTCAACTGCATACATCGGGAATGGACACCTCTGTCAAATGCATAACTTACCCTGCTGTCAACATTTCGATAAGGTGAGCCTCCGTAGTGCCCGGCTCGTCACTTCGTTTCAAGCCAGAGAATATGCCATTCTGTTGGAGTAGCGCTTTACCAGCTGCTCGCTTCACCTCTAACATCTCCGACTGCGTGATATCTGCCCGAGGCGGAATGACGTAGAAATCCAAGTCTTCTCGCAAAACAATGATGCCTGCCCGTTTAGAAGAGTCATCTCTTGATTCCATGGCGTCAGCAGCGGATGCATTCTCTTCCTGTGCGACGCTTGGGGACGTCTCGGCCGGTATGGACTGTGCCACAGTGCGGAAGAAATCCAGCATGTATTGCAATGATGCTGGATCATACTAGCAATCAGTGTCAGTGAGGGGTTCGGATGGCCTCTCAGCTTGTACGTACATCTACTTGCACAGCGTCGCCTTCAGCGAATCCACCCATGTGACCTTCAGGGAAGAGCCCGTTCGGAAAGAGAGACAGGAGCACGAACTCAGGCAACGTCAATAGTTCGTCTCTTGAGAGAACGAATCTGGTACCCCTGCAGGACTACTGTTAGCCGTCCTCATGTCTCATTTAGAGCAACCACTGATCTTACCGAAGGTCCATGGAAATCGTCTCGTCGGCGCCGACATCTAGCACATTGTCAGTAGGTAGTCGGGCCGCCATACTACGAAGAAGACCTACCTCCGATCGCATTGATGGGCGGGCCTCCTTGTTGTACCTGAGTAATGATACTCGAGGCGCCACCGGCGGTAGCCATGAGAAAGGTGAAGGATTGAAGTGGACTGGGTCCTTCCGAGTAAGCTGGCGGCGGCTCGTTATCTTCGTCTTTGCTCGCAGTGGCGCCCTTCTTGTCTTGAGGGAGTCCGCGTTTGGTGTCTGTGAGGGCTTGATCAAAGGAGCTTGAGGCGGGCTCGTCACCGGAGATGACAGAAGACGTGGGTGCGTATGCTGGGGCTGCTACAGAAGATCCAGCCGCCGGAACAGCTGAGCTACTATCGCAATATATGTGATGGGTATTTGCGCTAGTTTCGAAATTGCCGTAGAGAGACGAGAACGGGGGTGGACGCGAAGTTGAGGCTTCGGATGTCGGATACTGAGGAGGGGGCGAAAGTCCTCGAACGTTGGATGCAGAAGCAGCTTTTTCTTGCACGTGTGGGTGTTCTTCTGCGTTCCTCTTTTCGACAGAAAGACGGTTTCCTCCTGAGAGAGGAACTGAAGGCCGGGCGGACACGGGTTTCCCGTTCCTGTCGTCTTGCGGACCTGGCAACGTGGTGGCGGTTGGGAGAGATATTTAGTACTCAAGTCGCTAACAGAAGTGATTTGTGGTCGCCGAATACGCTGGTTTAACACTGCCCGCGGTTAGTTTGCCTTAAGCCGATAAATGTCGTGGCTCGACGAGAAGCTAGGGTTGTCGACAGGCCACACGTGTCAAGGACACAGCGAGGCAGGCGTCGGGGGGAGGGGGTGTATTCGGAGATCGAACCAAGGCGCTACCGACGATAGTCGCGATGATACGACAGCAAGAATCAAAGAAAACTGATAAGTCGCAAAGCGGAGGATGACTTGTTGCTATCGTCTGGCTCTGAAGCAGGCAAATATGCTTCGTGGGAAAGGAACAGTTGGCGGTGATGACGAGCAGAGAGTTGGGAGTAGGTCTCGTCGGAGCGGTTTGATGAGGTTGGACTAGAACGTGGGAGGATGGCGGTTAAGACGTAAATGAGCGTGAACGGATCTGAGAGTGAACCGTGCTCTGGTGACTGTAGGCACAGGGTATTACAGTGGATTGACTTCACTAACTACCTACGGTTTGGAGTCAGCTCCTTCCAACCAACCCCCGTCTCTTAAACCCTGTCATTTCCTAATTACTTCCGTCCGAGATTGGAGGCCACGCTCACTGTCGGCACACCATTGCCTGTAGCCGCCCATACCATACCATCCGCTTGCTTCTGGGCATGACAGGATGAGGCTAAGTTTGTAGAGCTTGAGGTTCACTGCGCGTAGATGAGAGGGGGTCTGCCTCAATAAATGACCTCACGATCCCGGGCATGTAAATAGGAACGACATGCGAGGACATCTCAAATGGTTGTGACAGGCTGCAACGTGCGATCGAATGGGACTGACTGGCACTTACTTTATTAGTCTTCGTCGCTGCTATCACCAAAAATGGCTTTGAAGACGTTGTCGTTTGACCTGGCCACCTCTTTGGCTGAGCCCTCGCTCCTAGATAGGTCAAGTGTAGGTTTCGTTGCTTCCCGAGAACATGCCAAATCAATGATGGCTGCTGTCTCCTGTCTTATACCCGGTGAGGAATCCATTTTGTCTGCTGAAGGCGGGAGAAGAGGTGAATGGCTCCGCATAATGGATGCGGCTGTCGCCGTCGCAACTCCGGGTTCAAAGTCTGATTGCACGTGTGCTGGTGGCTGGACGTTGAAGCGCTTACACAGCAACCTGCCAGGGAAAAAGTCTTCGGTCAGCCTCGTCATACGCCCATACATGCCCACTCTGGCGGCTTCTTTTGCTGCGTCTAGGTGTGCGGGTGCTGCCGTGACTTTTCTAACACCAACGTCTGTGGCCAATTCTGATCCGCTGCTGGTAGCAAGTTGCTTGGATCCTGTCGAGGCGGTTGTGAATCTCGTTGCCATGAAACCTGTCATCGGTTTGAAAAGCTGCGCACATCCGTAAAATTCCCCGATCTCCTTGACAAAATCATCATCTGTCATATCCGATGGCTTGATGGGAGGCCCACCAAAGCCCGCAGCGCTCTGTAAGTAAAGGCGATATCGTCCACGTTTTGCGTCGTCGTTGGCATAGGGGCTCCCAGCGCCTGCCCCGCGACTCATGGCAGCGAGGGCGGTCTCTTTCTGCAGACACGGTAGAGTGCGAATTCTTTCCTGAAGCTGCTGTTCGGCTGGTCCCCTAGCTTCGATCGGAGCCTCGCCTTTTGCTGGAGGCAAGTCTGTCTTCCCTGAAGCAATCGCCAGCCGCTCTCGAGAGGCTGCCGACATGTAGTCAAAGACAGACTTGCCTGACAAAGTCAACTCGCCTAGGATTGCTGCGCGAGTGATGGGATCTAGCTTGGCTGCTTTGGCAGCCTCTGCCGTCGACCTATTCGTATAGGACACGAGGGATGAGTTGCTCCTTGATGGTGCCCACTCAGGGGGAACCGAGGGAGGGGCATACATGTCCGTCGAGTTCCCGTTTGATTTTGAGTTTGTGAACTGTCCGGGAACAAAACCGTTCAAAGGTCGTTTCCCATTCCAGCACCTGCCGTGTCCGCGACTTTTCGTGGCGTGGACGGCGCTGGAAACGAAGACCGGCGTGGATCCGAGACTGGGATTTGCAGACACACTGGTGGCTGCAAGCTTCTTCTTCTTCTTGGTCTTTCCCCCCCCTAACACTCGATTATATGAGATCCGTGGACCCATCTCGTAAGGATCATCTTCTTCTGAGCCGGTGTCATTTAGGACGCCAACACCAAGACCTCCCCGCTGGCCACGCTTGCTTTTCCTCGTCTCTGACATTCCCAGAAGCACATTGAGGCCACTAGCTCGGCCATCATCCTCTCCCTCATAAATTCCACTACCGGCCCTAGTAACTTCATTGCGGTCGTTTCCGGAGGCAGTGTAGTGCTCCCAAGCGCTACCAGAGCCAGATCCTCGCGAAAGCCGAGCGTCGTCGTCGTTGAATCCCAGGCCTTGCTGATCAGATTTCTGGATAAAGCTGACCATGTTGATATTTTCCGGGGCGAACATGTGCGTCTTCTCTGCCATGTGAGGCGTGTTGCCTCCCGAGATGTCGAGTCTTGCTACCCTACGAATTCTGGGCCCAATACCTTGGCCGTCCTTCCAGCCCATTTTTCGCAGCAACTTGAGACCCATGGTTTCGCCTTGAATGCGCATCAAGCTGGCTAGGCCACCGGACAGACGCTGACCAGGCGATGGAGCTCCGAGAGCCCCAAACGGATCAGTAGTTCGGATCTCCTTTGTGTCGGCTGCATCGGCAAGGTCCTCATCATCCATGTAATCTTCTGGTCTCCGATCTGGTGCCCTCGGGTCATCTTTCCGGCGAGCCGTACGGCTGGACACGAAGGTCGAAGGTGTCCATCCTTCCTTTGATCCGACGGTGTTGAAATAGCTGGACAGGAATGTCAGCGAGTGAGTATTGATGAAGTGGAACGTTGCCACATGACAGCTTGAAGTAAAGCTTACCCTGCACTCCATCCTCCAGTGAAGGCGCCGTGGAGGCGCCGCCTGCCTTTGTCGTCCCTCACCTCCTGCTTGTGTAGTGGAATGTATGAGCCATCATCACGGGTATCGGCGTCTAGGGACGGCAGAGGTGTACCGAAGGCGACGTGAACGGCGGCACCATTGTGGAGGTCGGCCTCATAAGTAGCGCGCGATCTTTTGCTGTTGAACATGGGGTTTGCAGAGGCGTTGGGTGGTTGAGCGGGCAGTAAGTGTGCGGCAAGGCTGCAAGCAAAAACGTAAGGAGTCTCAGCCCTGCGAGGGTGCAAGTTGACTTTCAGTTTGCCTACCTAGAGACTTCGGGCAGGTTAAGGTAGGTACGGTAGGCACCCTGAGCACTCTTGACAGGGTAAGTTACGTAAGGCACCGTGAGTGATTGGGAGGCGCCTACACTGACGGATACGTACTGAGTGAGTAGGTAGGTGAGGCAGCTTTGGGTTGTTCGTCAATGTTTGCGACTCAAGTGTTCTTGACTCCGTAGTCCCTTGTCCGATTCCAATTCAACCTAAACCCTGTTCTTTGCAGGTAGTGCGTAAGTTAGCCCACCCCGTAACCGCGCACACCCCATAACCGCGTAGCGCTACCGAGATATAGTAAATAACCTAAAATAAGTAAAATATATATTTATTACTATCTAGCTAGTAAAAAAGTATACTAAAGTAATTTAAATTTAGGTTTTTATATTCTAAACTTCTTTATTACTTTAAAAATTAATATTAATTTAACCTCTTATACCTCTTTTATAGTATATATATTATAGAACTACTTATTAGGATTAGGTATTATATTCTTATATTTATATAGTATATAAACTTTTAATTTAATTTATAGTTTAATAATTTATTAGTTCTTTATAACTATAATATTATATTATAAATCTAGTTTTTTATTTATAGTAAAAGGTAATCTCTTACTATAGTAATAAAATAATCTTAGAGTAGTTTTTAAAATTAACTATAGTAGAGTAATACTTTTTAAATTCTTTAATTTTATAGGTATTTTTAAACTATTTATAAAGCTTCTCTTCTTACTAAGTATAGTTTTAGTAATAGGCCGCTGGCCTTGTATTGTGAAATTTGACTGGTATTAACTGCGAAAGCTAGACTGGTCCCCTCGCCCTCTACTAACGACCTTTGGGTCATGTGACTACTTAGACATCTTAACTTCAACTATTATAACAAGCTAAGTCAACCGTCTTCCTCTAGCCACCTCTATCTCTAAGGCTCCTTTAAGCTGCACCTACCCTTTACGCTATATTTGATCCGCGCCTGTTTTCTATTATCTCCTCTGCTGTTTAGACGTCTGTGTTGTGACAGATAATATCTTCTGCCCTACTACGTAGTCTCGACGAAGAGCCTTACTACTGTTAGCTATACTCTTAATATATTCGCCCTTCCCGACTTACTAACTGCTTAGGCTACCTTAGCTATTTTAAGGAAGCTTATAAGATATTTATAGGCATTAGGATTATTATTAGTAGCTTTAACTATATCTATATCGATCTTGAGGTTATATAACTACTATAGATTATCTTTATTAGTTATAGCTTTAAGTAAGTATAGCTAAGTGAATTTAAGAAGGGTTATTTTATTAGTATAGGTAAGTAAGCTATAGCTAGAACCCTTAATATCTTTAACTTTAGTCTTATAGATTAGGTTATCTAGTTTAGCTTTATTTAGTTTATATATATATTTAAAGAGGGGGAAGGATATTATGGTTGCTATGCGTATAGGAGGAGGATATAAGGAATAGGTTTAAGGCCTTATTTAAATAGTTAAGTTTTTATACTATAGCTATGAGAACCCTTTTAGCTATGCGAAGAGTTATACTATTGAGTTTATGCTCTTGAGTATAGGTTTAAGCTATCGCTAAGCTTTAGCTATTATGAGTGCTATTAGCGTTCTGCATTATGGATAACGCCTTTGTAATATTATGAATGACGCTCTTGCGATCAGATGATAGTATTGTAAATGACGCTCTTACTAGTACGTTTTGCTGCCCTGCTGCCTACCTGCCTACCCTCTTCTATATAGCTGGGGATAAGTTAAGCTGAGAGTTAATAACTAGTTATACTGAGATTTATTTGTTTACTTTATTGAGATTAGGTATAGGTTAAAGTACTGCTATTAGGTTTAAAGTATAGGGAAAAAAATATATAGAGTGAACTGTAATACCTACTTATATAGGTTAACCAGACTGCTAATATAGTTTTAGTAATTTACTTAGCTATATTTAATAGTAGTAACTAAATAAATAGAACTTTAATATAGCTAAAGAGGTATAGATTAATAATATAAAATCTAGTATATATATAGATTAGTAATATACTTTCTACTCTAATAAAGATATAATAAATAAAGAAGGTTTATTTATTAGTAGTTATACTATTAATAAGATTATAGTAATTATTAACTTTTTATTAATAAACTAACTTAAGGGAGCTAAATATAGCTAGAATAAACTAATAGAAATATTAAGTAGATCCTCTAGTTATAATATTCCTATATAAACTTAACTATAATATAACTCTTATACTTATTAAGGATAAGAAGCTACTATATCCTTTTATTTTTATTTATAAGCTTTATCTAAAGGTTAAAACCCTCTTTAATTTAGTTAATAGTAATAGTATTAGTTATCTATTTATTATTTATTATTATAAAGTATTATTAATTAAATTCTTATAATTTAATAAGAAGCTAACTTTATTATACTTTCTTATTATTAAAAATTATAAATAAATAAAGGTACTTACTAAAAGTTAAGATATATTTAACTATAATAACCTATATATATAAATTTAATATCTTAATATAGTTTTTCTTTATCTTAAAAGACCTAAGTATTAGTTTATTAGTTTCTTAGTTTTTTATTATTAGTATAGGTATAAGCGTATTTAGAGGCGTAGTATATACACCTATATAGTATAGGGTTATAGATAAGCTTATATTATAATAAAAAGTAATAATCCTAAGTATTTATAGGTATTTAATTATATAGATAATAATAAGGGAATTAATATATTATAATAACTCTAGTTATTATTCTTTTTAGGTTACCTCCTCTAGTAGGGAAAAGTAAGGGGAAAGATAACTTAAAATATAACCTACTTAACTACTAATTATATAAAGTGCTTATATAACTATACGTATTATATAATTAATATTATAGTTATAGGTTATAATAAATAGAGTATTTTTATATAAGGTTTAATAC